CGGGTGCGCGCCAACGCTCGGGAGTACAATGAGAAGTTCCAGTATGCGGTGAGCAGAGACCCCCCCCCCCCATCCTCCCAGCCCTCCTCGCTGACCCCCGGGGGGGTTCAGGGGGGTTTGGTGCCCGGTGAGGGGTCACGGCTGAAAGGATCTGCGTGTCCCTGAGTGCAGCACTGAGCTTCCCCTCCTATGGGGTCCTCCAACAGACCCCAACCCCCGCTCTGTCCGGTCCGGGAGCAGCGCTGCGATGGCTCTGGTTAATTAACGAGCTTCCGGAGCAGCTGGGGGAGGGGCAGCGCTCACCTTGCCCACCTCCCCCTCCCCCTCCGTGGAGGTTATTGCTGCTGCTCTGCCTCAGGCCTGGCCGCCGCACTGCCTGCAGGCTCCTGGGCTGGGAGGTGTGGGGATGTGGCTGCAGGAATGGTGTGAGGATGGGCAGCAGCTCAGCCCTGCCCTGGAGCAGTGCTGGAACTCAGCTCCTCCTGACCCCCCCATCACCCGTTCCATCCCCAGAGCAACTGCATCAAGACCTCCAAGTACAACATCGTCACCTTCCTGCCTGTCAACCTCTTCGAGCAGTTCCAGGAAGTGGCCAACACCTATTTCCTTTTCCTCCTCATTCTGCAGGTGAGTGCGGGGGGCCGGGGAGGTGGGGGTGCATCCTGCCTCAGGGTTAGCAGTCCAGTTTGGGGCTGTCCCTCTCCCAATAACCCCCCATTGCCACCCACAGCTGATCCCGCAGATCTCCTCACTCTCATGGTTCACCACCATCGTGCCTTTGGTTCTTGTCTTAACCATCACGGCCGTCAAAGATGCCACCGACGACTACGTGAGCGCTCCCCTCAGTGCTGTGGGCTGGGGGTGGGCGTGGGACCCCATCCCCTGCATGGCTGACACCACCACCACCCCTTTTCCTGTGCCCAGTTCCGCCATAAGAGCGACAACCAGGTGAACAACCGGCAGTCTCAGGTGCTGATCGGCGGAGTGTGAGTGTCAGAGGGAGGAGGGACGTGGTGTGGCCTCAGGGCAACGTGGCTCTGTGTCACACTGTCCTTCTGCAGCCTTCGACAGGAGCAGTGGATGAACGTCCGCGTTGGGGACATCATCAAGCTGGAGAACAACCAGTTTGTGGCGGTGAGTTTGGTGCTGAGATGAGCACGGTGCTGCGTGGGGATACGGCCTGCTGTCACCTCCTGGGGCTGGGATGTCCCCAAGGCTGGAAGTTGGGCAGCAGCGTTGGGGCTGTGGGGATTTGTGGGCTCTCGGGGTGGTGATGTCTGACATGGTGTCTTGCTGGCCCCAGAGCTGCAGCATGGGGTGGGGGGCTTCCCTGGGGAAGGCAGAGGGGAGCTCAGTGCCAGCACAGCTTTCAGCACGTCTCTCCTGCAGGCTGACCTCCTCCTCCTCTGCAGCAGCGAGCCCCATGGGCTGTGCTATGTAGAGACCGCCGAGCTGGACGGGTAGGTGCTGTCCTCGGCCTTGGTGAGAAGGAAAACGGGCCATGAGCTGCTCTGCCGGGCTGGTGCTCACCCCAAGCCGTGCTCCTTCCTGCAGAGAAACCAACATGAAGGTGCGGCAGGCCACCCCCGTCACCTCAGAGCTGGCAGATATCAGCACGCTGGCACGGTTCGATGGTGAGTAACCCAAAAACTGTCCTCTGTGACGGGGCGGCCTTTGGGGTTCTTCCTCTGTCGACTGGTTTGGGTTTGATTTGGAGAGAGCGGGGCTGTCTGCGGGGTGCTGTGGTTCTGGGGTGCAAACGGGTCTGCGGAGCAACTGGGGCAGGGTGGGGGATGGAACTGGGAGCAGCTGGGATGGGGATGGGGCTGGGAGTGACTGGGGTGAAGGTGGGAGCAGTTGGGATGGGGCTGGGAATGGGGCTGGGAGCAACTGGGACAGGGCAGGGGATGGAACTGGGAGCAGCTGGGATGGGGCTGGAAGTCACTGGGACAGGGTTGGGGATGGAGCTGGGAGTAACTGGGATGGAGCTGGGAGTAACTGGGATGGAGCTGGGGATGGGGCTGGGAATCACTGGGATGGAGCTGGGAGTAACTGGGATGGAGCTGGGGATGGAGCTGGGAATCACTGGGATGGAGCTGGGAGTAACTGGGATGGAGCTGGGGATGGAGCTGGGAGTAACTGGGATGGAGCTGGGGATGGGGCTGGGAGTAACTGGGACAGGGCTGGGAATGGAGCTGGGAGTAACTGGGATGGAGCTGGGAGTAACTGGGATGGGGCTGGGGATGGAGCTGGGAGTAACTGGGATGGAGCTGGGAATCACTGGGATGGAGCTGGACGGATGCATGAGCAGAGCCGAGCTTATCCTGTGTGCCCAGGCGAGGTGATCTGCGAGCCCCCCAACAACAAGCTGGACAAGTTTGGTGGGACGCTGTACTGGAAGGAGAACAAATACCCCCTGAGCAACCAGAACATGCTGCTGCGGGGCTGCGTGCTGCGCAACACCGAGTGGTGCTTCGGCCTCGTCGTCTTTGCAGGTGGGCTGTGAGGCCGGGCAGAGCCGTGCTGCAGGGCTGGGGGCTCTGCTGATATCTTCCCTCTGCCCCAGGGCCGGACACGAAGCTGATGCAGAACAGCGGGCGGACCAAATTCAAACGGACGAGCATCGACCGGCTGATGAACACCCTGGTGCTCTGGGTGCGTGGAATGCAGCTGTGGGGCAGCACGTGGCCGTGGGGCTGGGGCTCACGTCCCATCCTGTCCCCAGATCTTTGGGTTCCTGGTGTGCATGGGTGTGATCCTGGCCATCGGCAACGCCATCTGGGAGCACGAGGTGGGCGTTTGCTTCCAGATCTACCTGCCCTGGGATGAGGGGGTGCACAGCGCCGTCTTCTCCGGCTTCCTCTCCTTCTGGTCCTACATCATCATCCTCAACACCGTGGTGCCCATCTCGCTCTATGTGAGGTAGGGGCAGGGCCGTGGGGATGAGCTGGGGGGTGTGAGGGGAGGGGGGCTCCACTAGCAGGGGGTCTTCTGGAGAGGGGAGAAGGAGATGGGGACCCCGGGGCAGGGCTGTGTGCAGGGTGGGCGTGGGCTGCTCTGCTGGAGATGGGCTGCATCTGCCCTGGGGGTTCTCCAAGGCCTGAGACCCAGTGGGTCCGTGGCCCCCCTGGCTGCATCTGTCTGGCTGCTCCTGTCTCCCTGCCCTGGCTGCACGCTGGTTATTTTGCTCTGCCCCCCCGCAGCTCCCAGGCTCCTGCACTGTCCCCTTCTCTCTCTCTTTTAATTTCTCTCTCTTTTCGTTCCCCAGCATGGGTTCTGTCACCCTTAGCCCCGAGGTAAGAACGTGTCACCCCCACCCCTCCCACTAGCTCGTTGCTGTCTTCCCTGGGGGCTGGGGGGAGGTTTGGGGGCGTGCAGGTGTGCGAGATGCCTGGGGAGCCCTGCAGTCCCAGCCCCGCATCCCGAGCCGTGGTGGTGGCTGTTGGCAGGAGTGGGTGTGAGCTCAGCTCTGGGGAAGGGCGCGGGGCAG